GTGGGCCCTCCTAGCCTGGACCACGGGCCGTGGGCCCTCCTTCTTTGGGGGCCCAAATGTGGGCCTTGGAACTGTGCCTTCCTGATCAACTGGGACCAAACATCCCCTGGGAAGAAACACAACAGGAAATGTTCTTTCCTGGCCACCGTAGGAGGGGAGCTCTAAAATGCTGATAAGGGCTCGTGTCCATTATTTACATGGGGGAGAAAAAATATATTAACTACACACATATTTACGTGGAGGCCAGACACTGCCGTGTCGGCACCCCCTACCCCCCGTACCTCAATGGGCTGCCACTCGCCCAGGACAAACACATGCAGCATGTTCACATCTGGATCCTTCTGGAAGATGTTGGGCTTGGCGTGGTGCTGGAAGTGGCGGTGGTTCCACCAGTTGGCGGAGGCGCCCTGTGGAGGGGGGCGCGAGTGAACAGGGCAGCCCCGGGGAGACTGCTCCCGGGGCCCTGACAGGCAGGACCTACCTGTTACACAGGGGCCCCCCAGAGCCGGACAACGGGGCTACCAGCGCTGAGTCCAGAGCACCTGTGGCCCGGACCACAGGAAGGAGTGTGTCGCCCCACGCCTCCAGGCCTGCGGCCCCAGACACGGGGTGAGGGGCCCCCGACAAGCACTTCGGCAGGCCCCTCCCTGCATGTTGCCAGGGTGTGTGGAGGGGGACAAGGACTGTTCCAGAAGCCGAAGGGAGGCCCCTGCTTGGGCCAGAGGCCAGGACCTCGCCAGGCCAGCACCTGCAGCAAGGGGCCCCTGAGCATCCCTGTCGACAGCGTCTGCAAAACCTGCTTTCTGCTCTCCTCATGTTTACATGCAAAGGGTCAACCAAGGGGTGGTCTTAGACCGTTTTTAATCCGAGGTAAACCGAAGTAAAATAATATGTTTACACCGAAAGCTATGATGTAACACACCAACTTCTCCACTTTTAACTGCTTTTCAACTACTTTAAGTTATGTAGGAGAAAGAATTCAACCACTAGATAAAGAAATACAAATGAAACAGAGAGAGGTTCTGGTTTTTCCTTTGGCCTCAGATTTCAACAGACTCAGCTCGGTCTTGATCTTTATCTAAAATTTTCATATTCTGTTCCATGTGGGGTTTTTTTCCGCAACATTCATTTTGGTTTTAAAAAAAAGGCCTCCCTGGTGGTGCAACGGGTTAAAGTGCAGCGCTACGAAGCTGGCCAAAGCCGCTTCAGCACGAGTTCGACCCCCAGCCAGGAGGGACCCACAGAACACAGCAGACCTCTCCTGCCTCCCCGCTGCTCCCCTCAGCAGTGCACTTGGGCACTCTGCCTGCTGTGCTCCCCACTCTGTGTCTGGTGAATCTTCTCACCACCCCTGCACCTCTGGCCTGTACCCCAGGTCTGTATGCATAAATAAATACAGGTAAAAATCCTTAAAAAGAAATTAAGACTGCACTGAAAAGGTTTTTATCCACACTGAGCCTTTTTGGTGTCTCACTGAATCCTGCATCCAGGTGAGTGCTTAGCTCACCTCACCCTAGTCCCAGGCCCTGGAAGTGAGTTTCTAGAAAGGCTGGTAGACGTTTGACCTCCTCTCCAGAAGCAGTCTAGACAGCGCGGGGCCTGAAGTTTGCAATTTTCCCGCGGGCCCTACAGTGATAATGGGGCTTATGGCAGAGGGGTGACTGCTCTGAGCTATCTTCGTAAAAGTTCAACCTCAGCGGATATGCCCACTGGGTGTGATGCGGGCATTTCGGGGCTCAAACTTGCACCCAGAACTTATAGTTGTGGCCAGAAGCACCCCCAGCCCCCTGAGGCCCTCAGCACTGTCTGCTGTGCTCCCCAGCTTCGGTTAGCATACTCGAGGTGCGGGACGCTTAGGGACCTCCCTGAGTGAGGCCCTTTCTGCCCAACACAGGGACCAGAGGAACAGATGAACTCACAAGATCCTCCTCACTCTGGGGCAGCCCAGGGTGAGCTGTGCAGCCTTGATACTGGCCTGGAAAGAGCACAAAGGACTAGACCAGTGGGGCCTGGCCAGCCTGGAGGAGCCCGGGAGCCCCCACCCCAGCCTGTGACCGTCTCCCCAAAAGACCCCGATCTCAGCAGCACAGGAGCCCGGTGGAAGACAGCCCTCCTTCCAGCCTCGTCTGTCTGATGCAGGAGCTGGGCCAGGGCCCTTCCAGCACTGAGGGCCATCAGGCAGGCCAGGCCGGGCTGGCCCCTGCCCAAATCTGGAAACAGGACACAGCCCATCTTTGTCAAGTATGTGGGGGAGCATGGGTTGGGAGTGAAATGTTACTTTCTGACACTGGAGGGTTTTATCCAACAGAGAAGAGCATAAAATGAAACAAGGCACTTTGCTATGTGCACCCTCAGCCCCAAAATTCTGGAAGAATCCCAGGTTCTCAGGCTTCAGGCTCAGGGCCAGACTAACCGCTTGCTGTGTTACCAGCGTGAGGGCCGCTCGGGCCCAGCCCTGATGTCCGGCAGCAGGGGTGTAAGCGTAACCCAGACGCGAAGCGGGGGCGGGACGGGGTGGAAGTTTCTAGATCCCTGCCTTTCTCGGGAAGCAGCCGGACACCGTTTGGGGCTAGCACGGGGTGACCCACTTCAGAGTGGGCAGGACCCACTTCCAGAAGCGTGGGGGTAACACACAGGCCCGGCAAGGGACCCTGTCTCTGCAAACTCGCCGTGCGTGGGGTGAGCTGCTCTTCTGCTGGGGGTGGGGGGGGGAGCGCAGAACCTTCTGGATCTGAAGCACAACCACGCTCAGCCAGCAGCTCAGCGGACCCTCAACCTGTCCGGTGCCCCTTCCGAAGGCTGGGGTGCACTGGCCGCTGAGGACTCACATAGTCTGGACATTACAGGAAAGGCCCATGACGCCTAACGGGGAGGTCCCCCCAAAAGTGGCCGCTCCTAGTCTTGCTCTGTGCTTTCTGGCCCCCGAGGGAGAAAGAGCAGCAGGATATATGTTAGCGTGCATGAGAGAACGCACAACAGTCAAGAATGCTGTTCCTTGGCTGCCCGAGACCAGCGTCCACACCGGGAGTAACAGTGAGCTCAGCTGAACCGACAGAGCGAGCGGTATCAGAACCAGCACGCCGGTTCTGGGCCCAACGAGGTGCCAGCGGTTCAGCCCCGCAGGAAGCCCAGCACCCAGGCAGACCTGCCTCTCCGCCCTGGGCCCCAACACTGACTGGAGGGGGGACCTGGCCTCCCGGGCACGCGGACAGGCCCGCCCACCGCTCGCCACCGACGCCAAGGCTCAGCCCAGGCTGCCGACCTCTCTTTACCTTCAAGTGGCCGATGATAAACTTGTGGACGACGTGGTTCCACGTGGACTTCTTGTAGACAGAGAGGTGGCCGTAATCATGCTGCAGCCACCCAGCCTGGGCCTGGGGAGGAGTCACACAGGGTTCGCCGCGTCAGCACACAGGAGCCGGGCCGTGGCGGGCGGGCGGGAGGGGCGGGGTTCCCGGGGGCAGGCAGGTGCCGCCTCACCTGAGAGGTGGCGAGGACAAAGGCCGTGACCAGGGTGGGGATCCAGCCGTTGCCGAAGTAAGAGATGATGAGCCAGGCGAGGCTCTCCAAGACGATGATGTGGGCCAGGAGCAGCAGGAAGAAAAGGTGGTTGGTCTTGAACAGGTTCATGTCCTCCGCGGTCTTCCTCAGGGTCCGGAAGTCCTCGGTGATCTGGGACTGTTGAGCACAGGGAGGGGCGGGCAGCCCGGTCAGCCCGGGGGACTGACCACCTCTGACACGCACTGCGCGGCCCTGGAGGCCGAGGCAGGAGGGCGGCAGCCGCCTGCCTACAGCCCACACGGCTGGCCAGGCCTGGGGTGCGCCAGCTCTGCCGGCAAGCGGCAAAGAAAGGAGCCACTCGTGGGCACCACGGGCCCCCTCCTCCCCCGCCCTGGGCCAGCTAGCAAAACTCGATCTGTCCACACGGTGGTGGAACGCACTAGAATCCAGCCTTACAAGGAAGGACGTGCCGAAGCGCGCTGCAAGCCCGGAGCACATTACGCTAAGTGAAACAAGCCAGAGCCAAAAGCAGGTGGCGTGTGGACACGTTCCCGGTGCCCCCGGTGCGGGAGCAGGCCCCAGAGGGGGACAGCAGCAAGGTGCCTCAGGGGCTGGGGGGGCGGGAGTCGTGCTCCTGGGGATCAAGTTTCCGTCCGGGTGGCGCCTGCTGCCTTGGCGCCTTGGTGTGGGAGGAGGGTGCCCTCCCAGGTCAGAGGGGCTCCGAGGGGCTCCCCCCACCGCCGGGCTCCACACCTGCAGTCTGGGGCTGCCACCCCTCCCCCTCAAAGCCGCCTTCCTTCCTGCACCCCGAGACCCACTCACGCTCTTGCCACGGTCCTGGCTGGGCTCCTCGGGGGCCAGCTCTCCAACCAGCAGGGGCTTCATGAACTTGCGCACGAAATCAAGGTCCCGGTGGAAGGCTTGGAAGGCGTCCTGGGGAGCAGGGGCAGTGGTGAGGCAGGGTGCACCCCCAGAAACCGAGTCCCGCTGGGACACCACACGGCGCCACGTGGCACCCACGGGCCTCTTCCTCAGCAGACGCCTCCATGCCCATCTCACTACCAAGCCACTGAGCTCCGGGGGCGCACAGATGTGCTGCTCCAGAGGACAAGGCCGGAGCCAGGCTAGGACACTGAGTCTCTTGGCGCGTGAGTGCCCGGTACCAGCCGAGTGTGCTGCACACCAGGCTGGGCACAGGGCTGTGGGCTGGAGACCACCACAGCTTGGAAATGTGCTCAGGGGATCCTCTGAAACCGAAGACAAATGCGAGATTAGGTACAGGCGACTCTGACGACCAGAAGTTTTTCTTTCCTTTTTTAAAGATTTATTTATGCAGAACTGGAGTACAGGCCAGAGGTGCTGGGGTACAGGCCAGAGGATTCACCAGAGACAGAGTGGGGAGCAGAACAGGCAGAGTGATGAAGTCCACTGCTGAGGGGAGCAGCGGGGAGACAGGAGGGGTCTGCCGTGCCATGGGGGTCACTCCCTGGCCGGGATCGAACTTGTGCTAAAGCGGCTGCGTCTGGCTTTGCAGGGCTGCGCTTAACCTGTTGCACCACCAGGGAGGGCCCTGACGATCATACTTTGAAAAAAAATGTGAAAAAGCAAAATCAGGTTGTGGGAGGAAGAACAATTAGGGTAACGTTTGGTGGTGTTCTGCCTGGAGCTACTTTCCCTTCTTTGCAGACCTTCTCACATAATGCCACGTGGTTTTTACAGTTCAAACAAAAATCAAGAGAACGTCTTTTAATCTTTCTCCAGTGACAAATAAGGTGCATCACTTTAGCACGTCTAGAAAATAGAGATGAAATAAATGCCACCCAGAAAGTGCTCGCTGTTGCTAATAGTCCGGCACAGTCCCGCCCAGCACTCCTGCCCGTAACGCATACAGAGCTCAGACTGTGTCCATTAGCCGGCCTGGCGCCGGCCCCCTGGTGAGACAGAAGGACTCCGGCGCTGCACACTGTCTCGGGTCTCGGGGGCCTTGGTGAGACAGCGGAACAGCAAAGGGTATCCCTAGAATGTGGGGTGTGCTGGGAGGGGGTGAGGTTGAGCAGGTCTAGATTAAGAGATCAGAAAAGACCAAACAGGGGCCTCCCCGGTGGCTCAGGGGTTAAAATCTCAGACTACGAAGCTGTGGGCAGCGGCCTGAGGCTGGCCGACCACTCCTGGCCGCCCCGCCCGCTGCTCCCCTCAGCAGTGTACTTTGTCGATCTGCCTGTTCTGCTCCCCACTGTCTCTGGTGAAGCCTCTCGCCGTCCCTGCACCTCTGGCCTGTCCCCCAGTTCTGTATGCACAAATAAATAAAGCTTTAAAAAAAAAACAAAACTTTTCGCCTGACTGAGTGACCGAGTGAAGGGAATTCTCACACGCACGGGAAGTCGAGACGTGGCAACACGTTGGGTGTTCTGAACCCTTTCACGTTTCCGTACGTTTGGAAAGTTCAAAAAAGTTTTCAGCGAAGGGGGCGATGCTGGCAACTCTTGAATAAAAATGTCTCCCCGTCCCCAGTATCTCAGTGGTCACTGCCGGTCACTGCCAGTCCCCGCCGCCAGCTCCTCCCTGAGCGCCTGGCGTCCAGGCCTCCTGCCCGCCTCCCGTTTGTATCTGGAGCAGACTCACAAAGCAACACTTTGTGAGGAGGAAAGGGCCCGGGGTTCTTCAGAAAGCCTGTGCCCCCTCACTGAGCAGAAAGCGAGGAGCAGAGGGCCAGCTGAGTGTTTCCAGAGCAGAGACTGCTAGTCCAGGGCCCCGGGCGGGGGGAGGAGGCCGCGGAGCCAGGGCTGTGCAGCTCTGCCCGCCCCCAGCCCCCCACCCCCCATGAGTCCCTGGGAGGGGCCCCGGGCTCCCGCTGGGGGTGAGTGAGTGGGCAGAGCCGCCTTTCACGGCCAGGGCCTCACCTCAGACCGTGACTTTGGAGAAAGGAACAGAAAGGCCCTGAAGAAGTAGTTTCCTGAGGAGCAACTGCTGTGGCTGATAACAAAACGCTTTGTCTACTGTTCGCTGAGGTAACGTGCGACGGTCTGAGGGTCCACCCGGCTATCGCCCAGCTCGACCGCCCCTCTGCCCGGGCGGAGACACCTGATACAGAAGCTCCCGTCCTCACCCCTCCTGGGGGTCTCCCTGAGGCCAGGGCAGGAAAGGGCCGCGTGACAGGAGGGAGCCTCAAACCCCTCTTTAATGCATGAAGAAATGGGCACACGGGAAGGTGACCCCAGGTTCTAAGCGGCAGTGCCGGGGTCCTTCCAGGCCCACTCGACTCGAGCCCCTTGCCGCCTGCCAGCTGAGAAGCCGAAGGGGGCAGTGGGTACCACCCTGTCCACACGCCTGGGGGAGCCACCTCCCACACCAGGGCCTTGCCCAGGTCTCCCCCTGACCCCGCCTGACGCCGCCTCCCTGCGATGCCCCTCCAGACTGCAAACTGTCCCAGCGCTCACTCCCCACTGTCCCCTCCGCTCCATCAGGGAAGGGCCACTGCTACCTCTTGTGACGACCCCAGTGCCCTAAGCAGGGCCCATTCCCACTCTGCCATCCTGCCCAGAGGCTTCTGCCATTTTACAACACTCAGGTCAGGCTTCTGGAACACCTGACCTCTCCCCGCACCCACCCTGCTCCAGCACCCACACTGATGGCTGGCAGACACCGCACCCTGCGGTCAGGCAGGCTGGACACCAGCTCAGCATATTAGCTCCTACCCAGCTCTGTGACGTGGGTCCCCCTTTAGAGAAGAGAGCTGCCCGCTGCGGTCACTCGCAGGGTGCCTCAGCATGTGTTCCCTGCTGTTAAGGCAAAGGCCCCCACCAAAAAGCTTCCTTGTCCCCACGAGATGGCCCTTTGTGTATCTCCTTCCAAGACGCCAAGAGAATTCCTGCAAAGGATTCACAACTGCTGCGAAGTCACAGAAGTTCCCGGCAGCTGCGCGATAAGCATGGGTCAAGGAAAACAGTCCATCCAAACGCTGGTTTTGGAAGGGGGATTGGAACCAGGCTCTTTCCTCTCGACAGGGAGAAACCACTTTCCAGAGAGAAACACAGGTGAAGAGAAGGCAGTGGCAAGCCCGCTGAGACAGCAGAGCAGATGCACGCTGGGGGGAGGGGGGGGACAGAATAGAAGGCAGGACACCCACATGCCCACAGGGATGCTGGCAAGTCACACGTTCTGCCTGCCGTAGCCCAGCACCATCCAACTCCTGCCAGCGGGCACTTCCCTGCCCCACTCTGGAGAGACCCCCCGGGTCCTCCACCACATGGAGCATGGGGGGCCAAGTCAACCCTGTCTGCAGAGCAAGGCAAGTCACGGACCCAGCTTCGCACATAGGGAACTGGGCCCAGGGCTCGGGGGGAGCAAACTCGGGGTGTACGATGCTGTGGACCCCGGCCTGCAAAGCAGGTCACTGTGGAGCAGCTTGCTAGAGGCAGGGAAGCAGAAGGACGCTGCGCTCTGGACCAGAGTGCAACTTCCTTTCCACAGAGGCCACGGGCCAGCCAGGAAGCCCCAGGGAGCCTCCAAGGGAGTGAGGCATCGGCAGCTGGTTCGGAGCTCTGTGCTGGCAAAGGGGCCCGAGGCACTAACACCGCCATTTCTGCTGCCAGGCACATGCACTGTCCTGGGGCAGCAAGGACAGCAGGGGAGGAGGCAGCGAGTCTCCGAGGACGTGACATACCCAGGGGTCCTGGGGTCCGGCAGGGGATCATCCCCGGGCCATCCCTCAGTAGACACCGGCCGGCTCCCACCTAGATCTAGAGAGGGTGCCCTCCTGGCACAAGGGGAACAGAAGGGAGGACATGCCAGTGGACCCCTTTCCTTTGCAAAACTGAGGTCGTTCCTCTTCAAGCTCCTTTTCCTATTTACTACTGGACGCACCACTGTGTGCACACGCGGCTGAGGCCACGAGTAATGGCCCTCCCGCCTGTAGAACGCTCGGAGGCTTCAACGATCTCACCCACCTTCCCACTTCCCAGACCTGCAGGCGAAGTTCAAGGTACGTGTTGCCTAAGCATTCATGAAGCTGGGACCCAAGCCGGGTCCTTGCCCCTGGACACCCCTGGGGTATCAGAGATGGTCTCGTTTTCAGCTTTGGTGACTTTGCGCAGAACAGCAAAGAGCAGGTGAGGAGGGAGTGAATTCCGACCTCTTCCTGCCTGGGTTGGAAGAGGAGGCCGGTGCAGAGAGGGCAAGCTGCGACTGGAGCAGACAGGCTGGGGGGCAGAGGGGAGCGGGGGGGATCTCCGCCGAGGTTCACAGGCAAGTTCTCGAGCAGGGAGGCAAAACCACAGATGTGGTCACTGTCTGTGGATTTTTCACTTTTGTGCCCAGAGCCCCGCTCAGAGCCACGGAGGCAACTGAATCACGGCTGAAAACTGAAACTCTCAAGCCGGGGGAGGTCTGCAGGGGTGAGCTCTGTCTGGACAAGAGCAAGCACCCTGGACCCCAGGGAGGGGCCTTGTGCCCCCAGCCAAGACCAGAGAGGACCAGCTGGAAAGCCATTCGAGAGGGGAGCAGGGGTGAGGGGGGCAGAGAGGAGGGCAGGAGGGAAGGCAGGTGGGCATGGGGGCCTCGGTGACGGGAGTTATGGGTTACCCCCAACCGAGGCCACCTCTAGGAGCAGAGCTATGGCAGGCGGACGCACAGGTAAACCAGGCCACCTGCCCGAATGGCAAACATTAAGCCACTTTTTTTGACGGACAAGGTCAAGTTCTCCCTTTTGCGGGGGAGCAGAGGACCATCCTGACCATCCTGTACACCAGACAAGGCCAAGCGCTCGAGGGGCTAAAATCAGGCCTCCTCTCAATCTTGAACTGGGCCTCGCCATCAAGCGCAGCCAGCTAACGGACCAGTTTCTATGGTCCCCACCCAGGCCTGTGCCCGGGGAATCAAGAGTTCCCAGCTTGTCTTACAGCAGGACAGCAAAAGCCCACGCACAGCTGGGCAGGTGGGGGCCTCCAGGTGGGAGGAGTCACTCCCGGGCCCACCCCAGGGCCCATCCCAGGCCCCTATTCGCCTTGCCCAAGTCTTTCTCCCACCACACTTTTTTTCTCTGCTCCCAGCTCACTGCCACGCAGTCTCTTTCCTCCTCAGCCTCTGTCCTTCTTCCTCTCACCCAGTGGGGTGAGGTGCTCAAGCTACACCTTAAAAAAGGCCAAAGATTTCAGCTGGGGGTGAGCCAGGTGCTAGGTGCTGGTTTGGTGCGCCGGCGAAAGGCCCTGACTCCCCAGGCCCTGGCTCCCCGAGGCCACCCCACCTGGAGAAGTGAAAGAGGAGTGAAGGGCATTCCTGGCAGGAGTTAGAGACAGAGGACCATTGAGCCTGATGTCCCAGAGTAACCTCAGGAGCAGCTGGACCTGTTGCTAGGCCAGCGGAGCCCTGCTAAATCCTCCCTGCTCCCGGCCCCTCTCCACCGACCGGCGAGGCTTTGCAAACCCAGTCCCCAGCGCAGTCTCCAAGAGGCTGCCCCTCAGGCTGGGACCTGGCAGTGGGTGAGCCGTGGGAATTGGCGCTCCCGGGTGGGCTCTCCGAGGCAGCCATTGCGGGCTTCCTCAGACTAGAACCCCAGTGCCCGCGAGCCCCGCTCTGGGTCGCGCCTCCCTCCCCGCCCCCAGCCTGGCACGGGGGAGGGATGCCCGCCGAGTCCACACCTGGCCCCTCTCCCGCTCCTCTCGCCGGCGCGCAGGGGCGGCCATCTTCTACGCTGGGGGCGCCAAAACCCTAGGGTCCGAGCGTCCCCTTCGGGGAGTCCTTGGCCGCGAGTGAGCCCCGCGGAAGGGGCGGACGCGTGGGTCCCAGGGCGCGCGGTAAACCCGCACGTCCCCCACGGCTCGGACCTCCACCGCAGCGCGGCCTCCGGCAAGCTGACCCGGCCGTCCCGGAGGACGAGGATTCCGGGCAGGGGCTGCGCGTGGCGGACACGCTTCCCTGGCCTCCTGGACGCCCCGAGTTGGGCTCAGCGCGGGCGGGCTTTTGGCGCCCTGGGACCCGCGGCCCCTGACTGCGCCTGCAGCCGAGAAAGGTGGCGGGAGGCCCGGGACCTTACCGTAGCATCTTCGCCTGCGTAGTGCCCGATGACCCGGTGGCCCCCGGGGTGCCGGCTGGCCCACTTGGTGATGTTGTAGACCTTGCGGTCGACGACGAGCCACTGGTCGGTGCGCAGGTTGTGTTTCTGGATCTCCTCCCAGCTGAAGGTGGGCAAGGGCGCCTCGCGCTCGGCGGCCCCCTCGCCCTGGTTCCCCCCCTTCCCCATGCTGTCGACTGGGACGCCCCGCGCGCCGCGGCCTCCCTGCGCCGGCGGTTGGTGTGTCGGCCCGGGCCCTCCTCGCTTTCGGCTTTTGTCTTCTTCTACTCCTCCTCCCACCGCGCCCCCTCCCCCAGCCTGTGCGCCTACGTCCGGGAGTCGCCGGCCTTCTCTCGGCAAAATCCCCGGCGTGCCAGTGCCCCCGGGCGGCCCCCCTCCCCCGCCCCGCCCTCGCCCGCCGGTTCGCCGTGGACTTTTGCCTCCAGTAAAAACTCCCGGGGAGCTCAGGGCCCCGACGCCTCCTCCGCCCGCCCCTCCGGCTCCCCCCGCCCGGGGCTCCGCATGCTCCCGCGTTCCCGGCCACCCGGGTTTCCACAGTGATCAGCAGAGCGTCTGCACCAATCGGGGCGCGTCGCCCCGCCTGCCATTGGCCCAGGACGATCTTTCGAAGGCCAGCGGGCTGGAGCGGCGGTCCCCGGCTCCCCCGCCCGCCGGAGCGGAGTCCAGCTCCGCCGCGAGGCGGGCTACGTGCCGGATCTCCTCCCACTGACTCCCCCTCACTCCCCGCCCCGCGCCCCGCGCCCCGCGCGCCCCGGCCTGCCCGGGGCTCCCGAGGAGATCCCGGAGGTGCAGGAGGCGGGTGAGGGGCCGGGTGGGAGGCGGGGTCGACCACTGGTTCCGCGCGTTCCGGGGCTCCTTACGCGCAGGCTCGGCGCTCCCGGGCTTTGCACCTGATGCTGGCACAAAGAGCGCCTGGCGATGGAGCTCGGGCAGCGGGGTGGCTGGGGGGCAGCGGGCAGCGCCAAGCTCTCCCCCCACCCCCGCACCTCCCACCTCCAGCTCAGGAGCTGCACTCCAGGACCAGCTTGGCTAGGGGACGCCCTTCCCCAGCTCGCTAGAATGGAGACTCGGCTATCTCCACATCGCCACATTGTCTGCCTTTCTCCACGCTGGCGCCCTCGCGCAGCCTTCCCGGAGAAACTAGCCATTCTCGCGCTAGTCCGGGGCGCTGAACCTCGGAATCCGAGGATCCTAGAGCAGAATCGCGGAACCTCTGCCTCCTTTCTAAGCACCCTGGCGCGCGGGGGTGGGGGGGGGAGGGCGCGACCAGGAGCTGGACCCGTCCTTGCAGGAACTCCCAGAAGCGTCACAGGACACACACGATGTATTGGGCTGTGATGGTGTACAGACCCTAGGAAATAAGCTGGGGCTACCAAGGGGATAAGTGGGGAGGTGGTTTTTCGAGGTATGGGTGCCGCGGTGGACACCCAGCTAGTGTGGACTGCAGAGCATCCTTGTGCCCAGGGAAAGGGCCCAGCCCCAACTCTGGGGTGAAGGGTGTCTTTGGGCGGCCTCAACCCTGTGAGGTAAACAGGACTCTTACAACAGTATCTAATGCTGGGAGACTGGGGTTTAAGAAGCGTGAATAGGCCAAAGGGGCTTGGGTGGGGGTGGGGGTGGGGGACAGCTGAGCCCTTCCCAGACACCACCTGCCTCTGCCAATGAGATCGGTGGAAAGGGGCCATTGCAGGAATTGCTGGGAAGCCACCGCTACTGGGGATGGAAGGTCACTGGCAGAGAAGTGAGGAGCAGGACAGGGGCCCGGGGAGCCCCTTCTATGGCAGCCCCCTCTCTGGTGTTGTCATCATGCAGGTCTCAGCCCCGCATTCACACACAGCTTCAGGCAGGAAGAGCCTAGCCCTCTAGCGAAGAGCAACATTCCAACCAAGCAGATAAGGGAGGAGGATGCGGGCACCCCAGGGGTCTACGCAGCCTTTTCTGACTGTTAACAGGTTACTGGACCCTTAGCCAAGACTGTTACTGTTCCAGTGGTGGATCAGCACAAAACTCAGATAACGTTAATGAATTTTCCAGTGGTCCTGGAACTCAGAGAAAGAGTTAGCTCTAAAAGGGGTTCTGGGCACTCTCTCATGGGGTGGTCGCAAAGGCTGAGAACAGGACACAGGCGAAGGCCCGAGGCACTAAAAGTCAGCAGGAATATTTGAGGTGGGCAAGAAGTGGGATCCGGACAAAGTATGGGGTTCCCAGCAACTCCCGAAACAGCACCAGCCCGGACAGGCCCTGAAAAACCTTTGAAGTCACGAATGAATGAAGTATGGTGAGGTGGCTAGAAAAGGGTTCAAACTGGGGAAAGCCAGGGGCCTCCTTGGTGGCGCAGGAGTTAAAGACAAAGCATTATCAAGCTAACACCAGCCACAGCAACAAGATTTCAATCCACCCACCCCACCCCCACCCCCGAAGGGAGCTGACCCACAGACCTCTCCTGTCCTGCCTGCTGCTCCCCTCAGCAGTGTGTTTCAACGGGGCTCCAGCTCCCCACTCTGTCTCTGGTGAATCCTCTCACTCCCCACACCATTTGCCTACACCCCAGTTCTTGTATGCATAAATAAATGAATCTTAAAAAAAAAAAAAAAAAACTGGGGAAAGTCTTGTGTGCTTGAGTAAGGATGGGAGATCCTGTCCTGGATCAGGAGAGATTGGCCCAGCGGATCTGTGCCGGAGAAAGAGAACTCCAGGGAGGTGGGGTTGGGTTGGGATGTAGGGAAGAGAGCCTGGAGCAGCATGACCAGCCAGAGGCAGCTGCAGGGCCCAGGAGCGAGAGGAGGGGCCTGAGCTAAGGTGTCGGAGACCAGCTCCAACTTTTGAGGTGTCAGGAGGCAACACAGGCAGGACCCTAAGATGGGAAGGCGTCGGCGTACAGAGATTCCAAAAGGGGGAGAGGAGTGGGAGTGAGGAAGACACGGGAGTCGGAGTTGGGTGCAAATCTTCCTGCTCTGCCTTCAGCAGAGATTTATTTTATACATTTCCAGCAGGCAGGGGGATGGCATTAGCATACGAAAGGGGTTAAGATCACAATCACCTTTTTTCTAAGAAAATGGTCTGGGGTCACAGGAAAAGGAAATTTCTTGCTAATCAAGAAACTTGCTAAAAGGTTTCAAGTTAAGTTTTCTACTTTGAAGAAACTTGCCAAAAGGTTTTAAGTAAGTTTCCTTGAGGTCTAGACATAATTTGCTCTGAATAGGAGACATGGGTGAATTTGCTTATCTAAATAAAGACTAGATAGTAGAATCCTGAAAGACTAGCCAGAAAGACTTTTGTGGATTGCTTTGAAGTGTAGCAGGTAAAACTTGACTAGCTCTAAAACAGGCAACCTGGATGAATTTCCATATCTAAAGCCAGACAGTAGGAAGTTTAGGTAATTCTGTAGAGGGAGGCTAGGTGAGATAGCAGAATAAGATTCGGGTTTTCCTCAGTCCAGCAGTGAGAGACTTTGCAGAAACAGCCCTTTTGCTTTTATTGATCAGCCAATTGTTAAGTCACTTTTGACTTCAGAGGAATTTCTCACCCTCGTGCAATACTTGCTTGTCAGGGCAGGCAGGCCTTATGCAGCTGAGGCAACCCAATTGTAGGCCGAAAATTGCTCAGAATATTTTGATATTACGATTATACAAAAAAGGGAGGTCATAACACAAGTTAGCATGGAAAGTCTGATCTTTCAGAGCTTTTCCCGAGCTACCCGGAATCTGTCAGACGATAGCCATCGCATAGCGCCGTCGCATAGCTTGTGTCACTAAGGGAACCTGATGAGCCAGGCCCACCGCACACTGGTGCACGGCTCTTGCACTTCTTGAGTGATTTTCCTAAAGGAAGCCCCACTGTCTCCAGCCCACTCCACAGTCACCTAGGAAAAGGGGATTCCCAAGAGAGATGAGGCTCCTAGGGCTCCCAGGGGCCCCACAGACCCCCATCCCTTACCCCTAGCAGAACCAAGAGCCACGATTTCCTGGGGATCTTGCCAAGAACTCCTTGTGCTCATTTAACCAGGGACAAAAGAGATGGGCCTGGGTGGATCAGAGCCCAGGTCCGCTCAGCCAGCCAAGTGGGTGAAGGAAGTGCAGAGTGGGGAGGTACATGGGGAGCCGGAGCAGCAGGACGGGTGCACCCCTACCAGCCACCCCCAGGGTGGGTGCAGAGGCTTTCCGTTGGCCCCAGAAGGAAATGATGGCTGCCACGTCTGGGGTCCTGGAAGCCACCGGGCTGGTGAGCCAGAGGAGAGTGAAAGCAGAAGACGCCCCCATGGAACCGCGCCGGGACAGCGAGATGAAGCGTGGTTCTGACAGCGCCCAGCAGCCAGAGGACTGGCTGGCCTGACACTTCTTTTCCTCGTCAAATATGGCCCCGTCGCTCCTGCTCTTCAACGGCTTTCACCCGCCTTTTCCCCAAGCCACGGCCTATCTTTCCCAGCCCACTGACTGTCAAATCTATGCATAGACAAGCAACTCTTTCTGGGTCTGCCTCCATTCCACTCCAAGGCCACCGTGGTAACAACCTCTCCCCCCGGGCTGTCAGGTTGGTGGGCAAGGACTGGCAGAGAGTGGGCACCGCCCTGGGCACCATGTGAGCATTCCGGAGACGGTGGGTCTCACCTGCCCGCCCGCGACCTCATCCCGAGGTAGGTGTCGATACTCCCCCTTTGTGGGTGAAGACGCCGCATCGAGGGTCTGCACCCCCCACCAGCAGAGCCCGAGTCCTGGAGAGCGAGCCCCTCACCCGTTCCCACAGAGCCTTCTGGGACCTCCGACCAGTCACCAGCAAGACCAAGCGCCCGTCCCAGCCCGAGAAGCAGCTGCAGGCTGTGTCCCTTTCCTCCGGCAGTGCCATCCCCCCCCCCCAGTCCTTCAGCAGGGCACCCCTCCAAGCCTACTGCCGGGCACCCCCTCCATTTGTTTCCCTTCCGCCTCCCCCAACTGCCTCCCTGAATGTTTCTGGCCTTGGCGCACTAGGCACGCTCTCCTCAGGCACCTCCTCCGGGGCAGCGTGGCCTCCTGTGCACGGGATCTGGATGTCCCACTGCCCCTCAAGCTCCATGTATCCTCATCTCCAAGCCAACGGCAGGTCTCTGCAGACATGGCCTCGGGGCCACGGGCATCACTGTTTCCAGCACACAACTGAATGCGTCCCTGTCTCTGGGCAAGACTCGGTGCCTTCTTTCATGGTTCTTTATTTCTTTATGCATACAGAACTGGGGTGCAGGCCAGAAGTACAGGGGTGGGAGGATTCACCAGAGACAGAGTGGGGAGCAGAAGAGGCAGATGGACTGAAACACACTGCTGAGGGGAGCGGCGGGCAAGACAGGAGAGGGCTGCCGCGCCATGTGGGTCACCCCCTGGCTGGGGATCGAACT